TGTGAGGTGGGTGGGGCTGAGAGAACTCTGACAGAAACTGCTCTTTTTCAAGAACAGCTCTTATCAGAACTATGGCTTGGCCAAGGTCATCCAGCCAGGTGCAAGTGGAGGAGTGGGGATTCAAACCCGGTTCTCCCAGATTAGAGTCCGCGCACTTAACCACTACACCAAACAGGCTAGAGACCGTGGCTTCCCCAGCCGGGAAAGCCGGCTGAGACCCAGCGCCGTGGACGGCACCGAGGGCTTCCCGGAGCCCGGACTCCTGGGTCCCCCGGGCCGCAGGGCGCGGGGTCTGGTGGGCCGGCAGGCGGAGCTCTGGGATCTGCTGCTGCCGCGGAGGGCGGGGGGCTGCCCTGCTGAGCCAGCAGCAGCGCGTTCCGGGTGTCGGGTGTCGCGGCAGGTGGCCCCCGTGGGGAGGGGCGGCGAGCATGGCAGAGGCGCGGGGACGTCCCAGCTGCCCGGGGCCGGGGAGGGGGGCATGGTGGCGTCTGACCCCCAGGCAGGGGGCAAAGCCCTCGGCCCAGCCCTCTCCGGAGCTCCCTGCGCTCGGCTCCTCCGTCTGCCATCCTCACCTGGGCGCGGGCAGCGAGGGAGAGAAGGACAGCCCTCCCCGTCGGAGAGGCCGGCACACCCTCCCAGAGAAGCCGTCGGGGGAAGCGGGGCCGCGGACGGGCGGCAAGGCCAGCGATTCCCAGAGCCCAGCGGCCGGGGGAGCTCTCTCTCGCCTCCATTCCGGTGAGCCTGGGGGGGGAGAAGGGGGTTGGCCTCTGGGGTGGGGAGGGGAGCCGGCAGGACGAAAGGCAGGCAGAGGTGAGCGGGGCCCCTTAGAGGAGCTGCGGTGGGTTGCGGGGCTCCCGGGCCCTCCCGGAGGAAGGGAGATGGGGGGCCTGCTGGGGGGGGGGAGGGAACCAGAGTTGCCCCTCCCAAGCAGTGCTGCTCCTCCTGTGCTTGTAACAGCTGCTCAACAGGCAGGCATTGAGCGGGTGAAGCAGGCCTACCTGTGCCCATCGCTCACCTTTTATCCTGCTCTTTCTCCCCAAAGAGTGTGGGGCAGAAAGGCAGGGTTCTTCCGTCACAACAGCCCTGCGAGGCAGGTTACTCGGAGAGAGTGATTGGGCCTAGGTCACCCAGTCAGCTTCCTGGGGTTGAATGAAAGAGGGAGGAAGGGCCCCTTTAGGCCACCAGAAATGCTGTGCCAGGAATTATGGGACCTGTGTGCGTAAAAGCCACACAAGGGGACAGCCGGGAAAAGGTATCAGGTAAGATAGAGGGGGGAAAGTGGCAGGATCCACCCTCAAGGTCTCCCCGGCCCTAGTCCAGTCCTCTAGCCACAATCTACTATCCTTCCACCTAAGTATATATTCCTCCTGAGAGGTGCTCTACCTGTTGAGTTTCTGCCTGTCACATAGCTCTTAAAAGCCTTGGACTGTTGCCAGAAAGGATTTCCTGCTGGATTCTTTGAGAAGGGTGGGCACAGTTGCTGCTTCTTTTGCTCATCTTCTCTTTGTTTCCCTTTTCCCCCCCTGTTGAATGTAAATGGGGCCTCCCTCAGATTTGGGTTTGAAACTACAGGAACCCCAAAGATGACGCTCCTTGCTTCTGAGCGATCTATGCTTATCCGGAGCAAATTCCGCTCTGGTAAGTACAAACTCAGCATGGCTTTGGGGTTTGTAATATTTCACATAACTTGTAATGAGCTTATTGCTGTATTAGTATTATTACTATTACTATTATTATTGTCATATATTTGGCTGGTAGATGGTGTTCTGCAATTCGAGATCTAGCCAAGTTCTTGGGAACTGCAGATGTATCTTTGCAGGATTCTTGCTGTTCCAAGTAACACTGTCTTCTGGAGCTGAGCCGGTGTTATCTGCTCAATGACTAGAATGTCCAGGTGTTTCTTTTTAATATTATTATTATTATTTTCTTTTTTAAAAGGTAGGATACAGAAGGGAAGAAAGGGTAGGGGAGAAATATAGATTCGTCAGGTTTGTCAGATATTATCAGTTGTTACATACAACAAGTAAAATCAAATGTATTACATATTTCAAATGTAGAAGCAGACAATAAAGAATGTCCAGGTGTTTCTTGAAACTTCTAGGCACCGCTCCAAAGGCTCCATTGACAACTGGAACAATAGTAACCTTCTTCTCCCAAAGACGTTTTAACTGTGTTTGAAGGTCTTGGTATTTGTGATCTTCTCCTGTTCTTTCTTTTCTATTCTGCTGTCTCCTGGGATTGCCGTGTCAATGAGCCAAACCCCATTTCTCATTTCCCCCCCTAAATTGTGATGTCAGGTGTTATATTATTATTATTTCTAGAATAAAAGCCAATTAGAAGAACTATTAATGCATTGTTCACATTTATAGACACCTTACCTAAGGTTGTCAAAAGTTATAAGAACTCGTTACTTTATTTTATAAAGTTAATTTCATTATAAACAGTAACAGCTCCATAATTTGTGTTTGCTGTTAGCCCTAACCCTAAACCTCTCAATGATTAAATTATGCTTTGTTTTAATAAATGTTTTTAAAATGTGACTATTTGACCATCAGTTATTATCAGCCTGACTGTCCTGTCTGTAAGAAAATAACTCAGTACTAACTGTGCAAAGAAAATTGAATTATATGAATAAGCAGATCTATGTCAATTTACTTAACTGCATATATAAATTATGCAAATTACATTGATTGTCATGCATTGGCTTGATTTGGGTAATTCTCTCTGCTTCTGCCAGATGTGCGGAGGGTCAAAGAGGTATGTAGAGTCATGCTCTTTGACCTGTGCAAGAGATCTTTGCTGTCTATTGTGCCCCAAGGGTCAGATCTGTCCATGGCCACTACCCCTCCATAGCACCCAGAAGCCACTGCTGTAGGCCGCCCTAACCTTGCTTCATAGTAAGACGGTCACCATTTTTTGCAGGAAAACCTTCATATGGTGCATACTTGTTTTTGGAGCATGTACACCTACCCATTATTTGTGTGGGTCGGTGTAGGGCCTACAAATCAGAGGGAGGGGCTCCCATACGGGCCATCTTAAGCATGTTCACTCTTGCAGGGCTGCAACAGGGAAAAGCCTCCCCCCACCCCTGCAAATCTGCAGCCTGCCTGAGGGAGCCAATTCCTGTTGCGTCATGTTAAACGCTGGCCTTGACAACTTGTCCTTTGATGAATCAGATACGCATTCATTCACCACCACGTTAGGCTATGAGGACAGAGCTGCTCTGCAGGGCCCAATGGGGAGAGGGTATAAGGTCACCCCTGGGCATTATGAACACCCCTTTGAAGGTGCTTTGAAATAATTGGGTCATGTAATGGGGGTAGATTTGCACACCCACCACCCACCCATTTTCAAAAGTTCCAGCACCTTCAGCTGAACACCTCTGACCACATGCAGAGTTCGGTTCTGGCAACTGGCCCCAAATGGGGCTTCTTATGCAGTAGCTTTTTTTCAGCCCCAGCAGAACAGAGAGTGGATCAGCCCTGTTGCTTGTGCCTTTAAATTAGGAGACTGAAAAAAAATGGTACGTTTGAGGTTGTCTTTGGCGTTGCAAAGCCAAGCAATTTGCAGCTTCTCTGCTTGCTGGCCAGCCCAAGAGAAACACTATCTGGCTCTAATGTGACAGCGCATGTGCATTCTCTCTGTCTCTGTTACTTACACACACATCACAGCACGCATATGCCAGGCTTATGAAATGGTGCTGCCTTTCTCTGAATAGGAGAAGCACTGGTGGTAAGAGATGGCAGGAAAAAGCAAGCTGGGTGGTGAAACGGAAGCAACAGGAAGGGAAGGCCAGTGATGCGAGAAAGAGAGGGTCACCAAGTGATCTCGCCAAAGCTAAAAACAAGGCTGGTCTGGCCAGCGTGAATGATGGGCACATTGTAAATCTAGCAGCCATTTTGCTGTGGCCCAATCTGTTCAATAAAGAAGAAGAGATTGGATTTATATCCCGCCCTTCACTACCTGAAGGAGTCTCAGAGTGGCCTACAATCTCCTTTCCCTTCCCCTCCCCACAATAGACACCCTGTGAGGTAAGTGGGGCTGAGAGAGCTCTTTTGAGAACTGCTTGTGAGAGAACAGCTCTGAAATAACTTGTAACTGTCCCAAGGTCACACCAGCAGCTGCATGTGGAAGAGTGGGGGAATCAAACCCGGTTCTCCCAGATTAGAGTCCGTGTTCCTAACCACTACACCAAACTGACCAAGCTGCCCATAGTGTACTACAATGTAACAGATATTCCTTGGAGGCTTTCAGGGGCTTTTTGAAGGGAGGAGGGTACCACACGCTTCTCTCAAGAATAACCTCCCTTAGCAATAAATATAACATCTCCCTTCAACCATAAAGCTAGGGTTACCAGCAATGTTCCCTCTAAGCTGTGGAGTCCTGTGAGCAAAAATTCTACTTTGTGAGCTACTGGCATTAAACTTGTGAGCAGGTGATTTGGCTACTGCATAAATTAGTTTGCTCTGGAGCCATCCTTCCTGAGCTAAGACATAAATGTGTGAGCCGGAGGCTAAAAAACTGTGAGCTGGCTCACACTAACTCAGCTTAGAGGGAACACTGGTTACCAGATGTCTCTCTTTTAAGAGGACACATCCTCTTCTGCACCCTTCTTGGGTGCTTTTAAAAAACTAGTGAAAATGACCTCTTTTTGGGTTGGGAGACTGAGCCTGTTTTGCCATATAGTCCCCCCAGTGGAGGCAAGCTTCTGCTTAAATAGTAGGGATATTTAGAATGAGACTTATCATAGTGATCAGTTGTTGGAAGTAGTCAGCTGGGAAATATGTCCTCTTTTTGGTTTTTCAAACTATGGTAGCCATAATAAAGCTGAGTGACCTTGGGCCAGTCATTTGTCAGCCTAACCTACCTCACAGGGTTGTTGCATGGATACAATGGAGGAATAATAAACCTTAGATGCCACCCTTGGAGGATGGAAATGTAATAGACCAATACATCTGCCACACATTACACTTTTTCATTTTTAGGCTTCTTCATAACATATTTCATGTGTATATATAAAAATTAGACCTGTCGATTTAAATAATTATCAATGATTAATTGGGGAGAGGGTCTTTTTAACGGTAAGGGCCTGAAGGAAGAGTCAAGCTGAAAGCTACAGGTGTATCCCTGTTTAATTCTGTGGATATTTCAGTTCTGCTGGGCTCCTGTAAGCCTTTGTTCTTTTAAACCTGTTTTTAAATCTTACCTGGCCCCCAGTAAAGGACCACCCGAAGTTTCGAAGCAAATGTATTTAAATTCAATGAGTGAAACAAATCTGTATCTAAAAACATCTGAAATGAATTGATGTATCGATTGAAAAGCAAATGTTTTGATCAACATCCTTTCAGTGCAGTTGTAAGCACGCTTTCCTGAGAGTAAGTTCTGCTGAATAGACCTGGGTAGGAGTCTGGATTAGGATTTCTGTCTTAGCTGACATCCCTAGCAAAAATGTTATCTATTCATGTGACAAAGAGAGGCACGCGGGCACGCAGAAGCTGGGAAAGGCTACAGTTCCCCCAAAGGTGTCTGCAGCAGAACTCCTGTGTGAAAGAGCCTCCATCTTGGACAGCCAAAGGGCTCTTGCAGCCGCTGGCCTGGGAGTTGGGGGCATCTTGTATTTCCATCCCTCCAAATAAATAGCTAATGGCGTCACCCCAGCTGCTGCTGACAACGGGACAAATGCCCAGGCGGGCGGGCGGGCAGGAGAAAAGGGGGCACAGGAATAGAAACGCTTGGTGCAGTCCCACCCTCCAAAGGTATGACGTGCCTGGTGTGGGATGGCGGTGAGGGCCCACCCCGTCTTGCTCTTCCTTAGACAAGGTGACTCCCTGGAGCCATTGTCCTGGGGCTGGGCCTGCTCTGCACGCAATACATTCAGAGAGCTGTCAGACCGCTTTTCTTTTCAAAGCAGCACAACAAAGCAAATGGAGGCTTCTGGCATAGTGAGGGGCCTTTGTCGCCTATTCTGTCCCTTCAGATAAGGCCTCTGTCCTTACTGTGTGCTCAGCAAAAGAGGTCTCTCATTGTTTTGGGCCTAGTTCAGCCAGCCCACTTTCCATTCCAGAACTGGCAGTGAGTGAGAACAGTGAGGCCCAGCCAGTTGTCATCGTCCCTGGGCCAAAAAACATAAATTACTGTGACTGCCACGGCTTCCCCCTCCCTCATTATAGCTTTGTACGAATGTTGAGAATTCTGCTCAAGGTTTGGACCGTTAGACTTCCTCGGAGATTCAGGTTATAAGGCCTCTAGAGGACAGGTTATGGCCTAGTAAAATGAACTGAAGTTTGTAGCCTGAATGTACTCATAGACCAGGCGAGGAAGCTTCACAACTCACTTTTCCAGGGGAGAGCGACCTTCTTACACTCAGTACTCTTATAAAAGTACAATTACAGAATTCTCTGCTTGGGTGCAAAAGGCAGAGAATACCAATTAAATCAGTTTACAATGCGTGTGTGCCTTGAAAGTTGTTGTGAATGTCTTTTGACTCTGGATCCAGTCAGTATTTAACGATCCTGAATGGGAAAGGGTTTGTTCCTATCCTGGGTCACTCCTAGTTCAAGATCATTAAAAAATCTGAGGTTCTTTCTCTGTCGTAGGTATTTCTAATTTCTTTTTAGCTTGCTGTTTTCTGTCAGGTGATGTTTTGGTTTTAATCTTAAATTGGATGTTCATTCCTACAAATGCCTGGTGTGTGTGTGTGTGTGTGTGTGTGTGTAACAGTTTGCAGATTCTGATTTTGGAATTGACAAGCAGTATTTTCCTTCCTGATTTTTTAGTTGTCTGGTTACGGATAGGAATAAATCCAATAGCCTTAACCTAACCTTTCCCCTCCTCTTCACAGTTCTCCAGCTCCGAATGCAACACCGTCGATCCCAAGAGCAGCTCTCTGAACACCACCTCCTTCCAGGTGATGTATGTCTTATACTGGCAAGAAGAGTTGGGGGGGTCTTTTAGCACCTGCTGCTGGATTTCAGAGATGTCATTCCTGTTACTATTGCAATCAGCTGCCACATTGTCTCTGAGTTATACTGCCTTTGACAGACTTGTCTGCACCCCACAATATTTGGTAAACATTGCTTCCCCTGCTGCAGTACTAGTACCTTATCATAAGTAGATTACAGTTTGGGGGCCTGAAGGCAACTGAATAGTTAACGTGTCTAAAAATCAGCAGTGGCTGAACATAGCCTAACTCAACCAGGACACAGTATCTTATTCCAAGACACTGAAATGCTGGACGACACATCCAGTTACCATGTCAGATGACACAGGGAAGCCATTGGAATTCATAACCATAAACACAATTTCAACAGGAAAGAAGAGAGCTTAAAAATAAATAGGGCACGGTTTCCTGTCCTGAAAAAAAACACAAAATGCTCTGCATCTTAAAACAGCACTACAGATAAGATTAGAATTTCAACAGCCATTCCATATGCAAAAGAACCTCCTCAGGAAAGCTCCTCCATTAGCATGTCACAGCCTGGGAAACTCCTACAAGATAATGACTCAGCCCTACCCCACCTTCCTGAGTAGATATAAATCATCTGCCTACCATTTTTCTTCTCACCTTGACACAGAGAGTACTCCATCTTTCTGTGTTATACCTCTGAGGATGCTAGTCACAGCTGCTGGCGAAACGTCAGGTACTACAATCCCAAGACTATGGCCATACAGCCCCGGAAAATCTACAACTAATGAACTCCAGCTGTGAAAGCCTTCGAGAACATAAAATGGCATTGTTTACCATCTTCTAGTTAGACTAAACTGCTCCAGAACCAAAAACACGGACCTTATGGAACATCTACCATATTTAGGGGTGGGGGGAGAAATCATTTCTCTCTTTATGGCAATGCCAAAAAGGTCAGGGACAGATCTGAAGCAGGACTGCCTCCTCCTTTACAGACCTTCGACGGCAGAGTAACAGGCCCAGATCCCTTGGCTAAAGCATGTCCATGCAGGGAGAAAGTCTGTTGCGTTTCTGTTTGTCAGTCAAAAACGGAAGGCATGGAGAATTCTTGTTTTGAGGTTGTTGGGTTTTTTTAAAGGTGGGTTCTGTGGCAGCCTTTTTAAAGGGTGTTTGAGAGACAGCCTACAGAGATCTAATAAGGAGTATCGCGTTCAGCTAAAGGGTGTGTTTTAATGGGAAGCCGGTACGTCAAATATTCGGTTTTATGCCTGTGAGGATATCAGAAGATGCCTTAAGTCACAGATGCAGCCCATCCCATTGCTTCCTATCAGGGGTCATTTCATAGAAAAAGAGGTGCAGGAGCTCATTAGCATAACTCATTAGCATAACTTATTTGCATATGCCACACCCTCTGACATCACCGGAAGTGTGTCAGAAGGCAACACCCACTGCTCAGGTTCCACTGGACTGTTTTGGATTGCTAGCTATTGGGGGGACGGGGACGTGTAGATCTGTCCTCACAGAGGAGGGAGAGCTTGTACCTGAATAAAACCTGGTCTTAAAGGTGCCCCTGGACTGTTTGGGATGGGGGGGCTGGGGGGGCTCTGCAACTTACCTGGCTGCTTCTTGCTCTGACTGAGGGCCGCTGGGAGCAGGGGGTGGGGCTTGTTGCATGTGCCCGCCCCCTGGGCTCTTTACTGCTGGAGCTCCACTCCTGTGCGCTCCTGCAGGAAATGACCCCTGCTTCCTATGCTAATAGAGGCTGTGCTGCTGAGTTCTTCAGGGGCTGCATGCAAGGACAAAGGGCCACATAGCTCTGTGCTAGAACACATGGTTTGCCTGTAAGTTTATTTCCAGGCATGTCCAGGTAAAAGTCAGGCAGCAGGTACTGGGAGAGAGACCTCTGGCCGAGGAGCTTTCCTTCACTGTTAAGCGCTATTAACCCAAGAGGTTGACTTTGGGACCCTATGCAGACAAAGACTGTCACTGGGCTGTTATAGCCCTCCCCATAATAAGTATCCACTGGCGGGGGTTGGAGGCATGGTGTAGGTGGGCCATTGGAACAAAAAGAAGGAGTTACGCGGAGCAACCCACTGGACCTATTAGAATGTCTCTTCCACTTCTGATTGTAGAGATTTTTTCAGGCCTGCGTGTTTCTAAACTTTTTTCTACCACTGTAAAGGACTAGAAATTTAAGTCTTTTAGAAAGAACACTGAGAACCTCAGGAATATTAAACTCTGTGTGTGAGAGATATCAAATTCCTCATTAAAGGCAGCCTTAAATACTCCCTTTATTTTGTAGAACTGAACGTGAGACTCAGTGACTTTTCTCAGGCTGCCTGGTGGATGATACAGTCCACAATCTGATGCAATGGGAAACCACTTCTTTGTCAGTGTGAGGTAGTTCTTCCTTGGGGGTTTCTTACATATGTTCTGCCAGAGAATATGTCAGCAGACGTTAAGATGGAAAATATACGCCAGCGATCATGCTAAAGAAAAAGAGGTGCAGGAGCTCATTAGCATAACTCATTAGCATAACTTATTTGCATATGCCACACCCTCTGACATCACCGGAAGTGTGTCAGAAGGCAACACCCACTGCTCAGGTTCCACTGGACTGTTTTGGATTGCTAGCTATTGGGGGGACGGGGACGTGTAGATCTGTCCTCACAGAGGAGGGAGAGCTTGTACCTGAATAAAACCTGGTCTTAAAGGTGCCACTGGACTGTTTGGGATGGGGGGGCTGGGGGGGCTCTGCAACTTACCTGGCTGCTTCTTGCTCTGACTGAGGGCCGCTGGGAGCAGGGGGTGGGGCTTGTTGCATGTGCCCGCCCCCTGGGCTCTTTACTGCTGGAGCTCCACTCCTGTGCGCTCCTGCAGGAAATGACCCCTGCTTCCTATGCTAATAGAGGCTGTGCTGCTGAGTTCTTCAGGGGCTGCATGCAAGGACAAAGGGCCACATAGCTCTGTGCTAGAACACATGGTTTGCCTGTAAGTTTATTTCCAGGCATGTCCAGGTAAAAGTCAGGCAGCAGGTACTGGGAGAGAGACCTCTGGCCGAGGAGCTTTCCTTCACTGTTAAGCGCTATTAACCCAAGAGGTTGACTTTGGGACCCTATGCAGACAAAGACTGTCACTGGGCTGTTATAGCCCTCCCCATAATAAGTATCCACTGGCGGGGGTTGGAGGCATGGTGTAGGTGGGCCATTGGAACAAAAAGAAGGAGTTACGCGGAGCAACCCACTGGACCTATTAGAATGTCTCTTCCACTTCTGATTGTAGAGATTTTTTCAGGCCTGCATGTTTCTAAATTTTCTCCTACCACTGTAAAGGACTAGAAATTTAAGTCTTTTAGAAAGAACACTGAGAACCTCAGGAATATTAAACTCTGTGTGTGAGAGATATCAAATTCCTCATTAAAGGCAGCCTTAAATACTCCCTTTATTTTGTAGAACTGAACGTGAGACTCAGTGACTTTTCTCAGGCTGCCTGGTTGATGATACAGTCCACAATCTGATGCAATGGGAAACCACTTCTTTGTCAGTGTGAGGTGGTTCTTCCTTGGGGGTTTCTTACATATGTTCTGCCAGAGAATATGTCAGCAGACGTTAAGATGGAAAATATACGCCAGCGATCATGCTAACAATTGTCCTGTATTGATTCCCCAGCGCTCAGCAAACCCCTCGCAACTTTCTCGCAGGCCAGTGGGCCACAGAGTCAGAATAAGGTGAGTACCCCTGGGATGTGGTATAAATATTGGTATATATAGACATTTATTTACACCCTGCTCCACTCCCCAAAGGAGACTCACAGCGACTTACCATCTCATGCCCCCCTCCTCCATTTTATCCCCACAGCCACAACCCTGTTGTGTAGGTTAGGCTGAGAGAGACAGTACTGGCCCAAGGTCAGTACGAGACACTGCAGGGACAGGGCTTTCCCCAGCACGGCTGTTTTTAACGGGTCAGTTCACGGAGCAGGGTACTCCTTTGCATATTAGGCGACACACCCTAATGTAGCCAATCCTCCAAGAGCTTACAGAGCTCTTCTTACAGGGGCTACTGTAAGAGCTTGGAGGATTGGCTACATTAGGGGTGTGTCGTGTAATATGCAAAGGGGTTCCTGCTACAAAAAGAGCCCTGTGAGGGAGGATTTTTAACAGGGTATCCCCTTCTGCACCAGCTACCACCTCTGACTGCTGTCTCACCTGCAGTCTATTAGGTCGAATCTGCATTTGTCCTTCCCACCGATGTCCCAAGCTTCTGACACCATCTTTAAAAAAAGCAGTCTACATTGGGTGTAGTTTTCACACCTCAACAGTGCTAGCATACTTTTGCACGTCCGCATATGTTTATTGCCCTTTTGTGGCGGCTCCACTGTCCTTGCACCACTGCACTGCTTTAAAAGAATCTTCTCCAAACAACATTCCAACAAGCACAGAGAAAGATGGCGTCGCAGCAGCACGAAACTGATTTAAAAATGCAAATGTAGATTTGAAGTATGTGTTGTCCTTGTGATGCCACCCCTCTCCCACTGTCCAGAGGAAGGGCCATGTGGGTAATACTCCTGCTTTAACCCTCTAGTTTCAGATGAAGCTGCTTTTTACTGAGTCACGCCACTGGTCCAAACTAGCCCAGCCCAGCCTGCTCAGACTGGCAGCAGCTCTCCAGGGTCTTGAGCCGAGAAAGGCCCGCTATCCGAGATGCTTTTAAGTGGGGATTGATCTCATGACCTTCAGAAGGCAAAGTCTGTGTTCGAGCACTGGGCCTCCATTCCAAGTCTCCCAGCTGGTATTTTAGGCTGTATCCATCTGGTGGTGCTTGCTCCCTTGTGGGGGTGGGGGGATTTGAGCGCACCCCACTCAGCATCCGCAACATCCATCCATACTTCCTAATTAAAGCTAAACTCTGCTTCCTTTCCAGGGAACTAGAAGTCCCGACTTCACCATGAGTTCCCATTTCCCCCAGTGATAACCCTGTAGGCTATTTCACTCATGATGTTAAAAACAAGCTTTCCCTTTTTTTTTTGGAATAAAAACCTCTCACATCTCCAATAAAAAAGCTGTATGAAGCAGGATGTAGATCTAATATCTTCCTCTTGCTTCTCCTATGGTATCAGTGACATTTAAGAGCCGTGGCGTCCCAAGTTCAACTGCTCTGTCTGGCATCACTTGTGGAAATGCTGTAAGGGCCCCTCTAGGCAGCTGGTGCTTGAACGCCATGGTTGGGTGCTTCTGTAGGAGGCTCCGAGGAAATGGTGGCGGTGATTTCTTCAACTCACCTGAAGATCCTTGTCTGAGGCTTAGGAGCACTGGCCATGCTTGTTATGTTATGCTAACAAAGGGCTTCTTTCCTTCTCTCTGCTTCTCCTCAGGCCAACGATTTTGCAAAGCTGAAAGCCTCTCCCCGGCCCCACAAGACCAGCGCTGCCAAGGGCCAGTTGGCAGAAGGTAAGGCACACCTTCTGAACCCCCTCTTTGAAGAGCAACAGATCTCCTTAAAATACAGTTATAAAACTTAGACACTCTGGATCCTGCCTCCACTGTTCTGCCCCTCTTCAGCCATTCCGCTTTCAGAGGCCTAGTGGGCCAGGCCCATTGGGCTCCAACCCTTTCTTTAGTCCCTTAGTTCCCTCCTAAAAGGCCAGGTGGTCCTGGCTCCCTTCAGCTTTCCCCATGGTGAAAGAAGTTGATGTAAGAACATCAGTGGTCTATCTAGTCCAGCATCCTCTCAGAAGATGATGTAAGAACATAAGATGAGTTTGCTGGATCACATCAGTGGTCTGTCTAGTCCAGCATCCTGTCTCACACAATGGCCAACAGGTTACCCTGGTGGGCCAAGAACAGGGCATAGAGGTTGATGCCTTTGCCTGATGTTTGTGTGTGTGTGTGGGGGGAATGGATCCTGCCCCTATCCGCCTCAAAATTCCACATCCAGAGTCCTGCTAATGTGAATGCCAAGGTGTCCAACTGTTTGGTGTAGTGGTTAAGTGCGCGGACTCTAATCTGGGAGGACCGAGTTTGATTCCCCACTCCTCCTCTTGCACCTGCTGGATGACCTTGGGCAAGCCATAGTTCTGGCACAGCTGTCCTTGAAAAAGAGCCGTCTCTGTCAGAGCTCTCTCAGCCCCACCTACCTCACAGGGTGTTTGTTGTGGGGAGGGGAGGGGAAAGGAGTTTGTAAGCCGCTCGGTATAAATTCAATCTCCTCCTCGTCCTCGTCCTTTTTCGTCCTGAGCTCCACTTCCCATTGTCAATTTTCTGGGGACTGGGACTCGTCATCACAACAAGATGTGTTGATTTCCACTTAGCTTAGATTTATTTTTTTTAAGGATTCCACATTCGTGGACAGTGAGGCAAATAGGATTTGGGGGGTAGGAGCTTTCGAGAGTGACAGCTTCTTTGTCAGTGGTCCTGATGACGATTAGTCTCCTTTGACAACGGTCCTGATGACCAATTTTGTCCGTCTCCAAGATACTACTGGACTTGAATCTTAGCTATTCCACTGCAGACCAGCATGGCTACCCTCTGAGCACCCCTGCTCATAAGAACTGAGAGCCATCATGCCCAGTTTGAAGCTTCTTCCAGTCAGAGACAGAATAGTGAATTAGGTTCCCTCCAGGTTTATAAGGTGGCCCATGAAGACGTTTCAACTGGTACGGAATACGGGAGCGAAACGACTGATGGCCACTCTGAACATATCCAACTATTCCTTTACTAGCTATATGGATTACCAGCTTGCTTCCAGGCTCAATTCAAGCTGCTGGTACTTGCTTCTAAAGCCTTACATAATCTGAGTCTCCCATGCTTCACAATACGAGAACTCGTGGGCACTCCATGAAACTGCTGAGCGGTCGGGTTAGAACGGATAAAAGGAAGTACTTCTTCGCCCAAAGAGTGATTAACACTTGGAATTCACTGCCACAGGAAGTGGTGGGTGCTACAAGCATGGACGGCTTCAAAAGGGAATTAGATAAGCATATGGCGCAGAGGTCCATCAGTGGCTATTAGCCACAAGGTATAGATAGGGGCTCTGGGGCAAGTGATGCTCTGTCTTCTTGGCGCTTGGGGGGGGGCTCAACAGTGGGAGGGCTTCTAATGTCCTGGCCCCACTGGTGGACCTCCTGATGGCACTGGTATTTCTGGCCACTGTGTGATACAGAGTGTTGGACTGGATGGGCCTTTGGCCTGATCCAACATTGGCATCTCTTATGTTCTTATGACCGTCTCACTGCTTATCAAGCTGAACACCAGTTAAGATCGAGCTAGTAGGGGCTGGTGAGCATTCATCTTCCTAGTCAGTTTGCTTCACGGAAGCCTGAAAGAAGAGTGTCTCTCTTGTGGCTCCCTTGGTCTGGAACCCTCTGCCAGAACTGGGGAAGAAAGCCGCGTCCCTCCCCATGTTTAAGAGGCGGGCTGTAGAACTTCTTTGCTTAGAAAGACCTTCGGGGGGAAACCCAACTGGCTCTGTGAATGGGGAAGGTACCTTCTCTTTGGAGCTCATTAGCTAACGTAATGTACACGAAAAGGGGCTCTTAGTTTGGGGATTGTTTGTTGATTGTTTCATTCTGGTTGTTGGATTATGAGGGTCCCGCGTGCTTCGGGAAAACTGCCTTGAGCAAATTGAAAACAAACAGTCCGGTTTGAGAAAGACACTTCCGTTCCGTTTCTCTTCCGCTCCAGCACCTCCCGGAAACCCTTCCGAGGTGCAGGACAAGAAGGCTCGCCTGGCCGAAGACCTGAGCGAGAAGATCCTGCACCGCCCTGGACCGCTTGAGCTGGTGAAGAAAAACATCCTCCCCCTGGATCCGGGCATCAAGGATGCCATGACGGGTAATGACCTGGGATGCCTCAGTGCACCCGAAAGGGGCACGTTGCCCAACAGGGTGAAAGCAGAGACCTGCAGGGATCCTCTGTGGGAGGGAAGGGCCCTCCTAATGGGCCTTTCACTCTGGGAGGCTGACCCGGAAGGACAGAGCCAAGTCCAAACAGGGTCTAAAGGGTTGAGTGGGCCATGGCCCCGACCTGGATGGCCCAGACTAGTCTGATCTCGTCCGATCTCAGGTGCTACGCAGGGCCGGCCCTGGTTAGCTCTCGAGTGGGGGACTACCAGTGAAGCCCAGGGTTGCCGTGCAGAGACAGGCCATGGGAAACCACCTCTGTACGTCTCTTTCCTTGAAAACCCCACGAAGGGCAACTTGACGGCGTTTCCCGCCACCGCCCGCCGGGTGCGAGTCCCACCTTTGACCTAGACTTGCCATCTGCAAAATGGGAACCTCAGCGACACGTGCGTAAACAGGGTAGCTGGCAGGGGTCGCCTTGGCAACTCTTTGACAAGAGCCTCTCGGGTTCAGGCCCCTGTCCTGTGGAAAAGGTAAAGTGTGCGGCTCACAGCGACGCCATGACGTTCTGCCGCGTGGGGTTTTCAAGGCAAGAGAGGAGCAAAGATGGTTTGCCATTGCTTTCCTCTGCGTAGCAGCCCCTGTTTTCTTTGGCGGCCTCCCATCCCGAGTACCAGCCCTGCTTAGCTTCTTGAGCTCTGACAAGATCAGGCTTGTCTGGGCTATTAGGACTGCTACCCTCATCAGATTGCATTCTCTCTCTTCCTCCCAGTCTAACCCCGGTCTAATCCCAGTCTATTCTTCCATAGCTCAGTGTTAGATTTGAATGGAGGAGAATCCAGGTTTGATCTCCAGTTAATAAGGGCTCTTGGATAACTGGGCCTGGAAACCTTGCCTGGAACCTTGGAGAGCCATCCCCCGTTGCAGAATGAGGCTAGATGGACCATTGATTAGACATCTTTGTATCTCTGCTATGGGTATGCTGAAGGTTCTCAGAAGTATCCCATTACCCTTGTATCTTCTAGCACAGTGGTGGCGAACCTATGGCACGGGTGCCAGAGGTGGCACTCAGAGCCCTCTCTGTGGGCACGCGTGCCATCGCCCCAGCCAGGCCCAGACCATCATTAAAATGTCGAATTCTCTGCCAAATAATTTAAAGTAAATGAAAGCATTTGGGATTGCTTTCCTTACTTTGTTTGGATCATCTTAAGTTAATGTATGAGTTGTTTTTTCTAAAGTAAAACCTCAGTATTCAGGTTAAATCGCCGTGTTGGCACTTTGCGATAAATAAGTGGGTTTTGGGTCGCAGTTTGGGCACTCGGTCTCTAAAAGGTTTGCCATCACTGTTCTAGCATAAAGCCAGGCATATTCTCTCTGTCGAGGAGTTCCAGGTTGAACCCTGTAGGTCTGCAGGGCAGTTGTACACAAGTAACCAGACTGTTTAATTTTTAAAAAAAGATTATTTCAATTTCTATCAGTTTGAACATTTATTCTGTAGCCACGCTAAAGTCACACAGCAAGAAAACAAGAAGAACTAGCTTAACCACCTAACACTTTTAAGAATTTGTGCGAGATGGCACCAACCTTAACTTCAAAGATCAGAGGCCAAAGCTCAGGCGTTCTCTACACTGCTTAGCAATTGCAATTCGAGCAGGTCGTAGTTCAGGCCTTTTGTCTACCAAAATCGCAGCTAGTCTCTCTTCTTCAGGGCCTTTACACAGTTATACTTTTGGGGCCCAGCAACATCAGGTGAGGATGACATCCAATCAGGACATGTTCTCAGGAGAAGCCTCTAGAAGATTACCTCATCCATCCGGGCTCTCCCCCTCTGGTCACACAGACCGCAATCACCCTTCCCTCTCTGGCCTTGAAGATGATAAGAGCCCTGTTGGCCAAGAGCCCAATTAGTAACACCTGCAGGATGGAACAGGCCCGCTCCTGTTCACATTAACCCTTGAGGGGAGGGCCAGGGGTGCTGTGCCTCACACTCTCTGTCTCCTTTCCAGAGGCAGTTCCGGCGGCACCGGATTCCTTCACCTTTGAGGAAGATCTCAGTAGCTCCTCTTCCTCTTCCTCCCCGTGCTTTGCACTGTCTCCGGGAAGTGCCCTTGGGAACCTGCCCACGGCCTCATCAGGGGGAGCCTTTCAGGTAAGTAGCCGTGGATGAACATCAGCCTGTGTGGGCTGAGTAACAGGGAGGCTGGGAAAGTGGTAGAAGGGAGAACGTTCCCTCCAACTGGAGATGCCAGGAACTGAACCTGCAACTTTCTGCATGAGAAGTATGTGCTCTCCCCCTTAGCTGTGACTTCTCTCAAAGCAGAAATAGTCATTGGGGCAAGAGTATAGTAAGTGGGGTTGCCAACCTCCTGGGAGGGCCTGGAGATCTCCCAGACTTGCCACTGATCTCTAGGCTACAGAGATCAGTTCCCTTAGAGAAGATGGCTGCTTGGGAGGGCGGACTCGGAGACATCACATCTCCCCTGAGCTCTGTCCTCAAACCCCTCTGTGGCGATTCCTTGTTTTATATGTGTGTGTGTGTCTTTAAATGTTTGGTTGCATGGCTGAGATATATTAGAGTGGTTGAAGAGACAAGAGTGGTGTGATTGGTGATTGACAGAGAGGGGGAGGGGTTTTGGAAGTGGTTCTGAGTGGATGAATATGTCTGTCTGTCAGGAGTGACAGTTACAGGTTTGACATTTGATAGACAGTTGTTAAGTTAGTTTGTTCTGAGGTCTGTGAGAGAAGCAGTTTTGTGTGTGATATAAGAGTCAAGTTCTGTGTATGAAGAAAAGTGACAAGCAGTTCTGTGCTGGGGTCGTCACACTTACCATTAGAGTTAGGCGGTTGTTCACCAAAAAGGGAGAGAGAAAGCAGAAAAGTTGAATGTATAGGAAATAGTAAAGAGCCAAAGTAAAAGCATAAAGGTTTGGAAATCCTTAAAATTTCCTGGTGGCAGCCAGATATACCCAGTAGAACAAAATAAAAAGAACACTTTTAAAGGGAAACCAGTCCTCCCCAGATAAGGGGTCGTCACACCCACCCTCCCCTGGCTCCACCTCTAAATCTCCAGGGATTTCCCAGCCTGGTGTTGGCACCCATACAAGTCAGCCTGCCCGTTCCTTTCCCCCAGTATGGTCTCCTCTGACTGGCAGTGACTTCCCATGGCTTCAGGAAGGAAAGAGTTTTTCTTGGTACTTGTTTTAAGTGGCGATGCCGAGGCTCGCACCCGGCCCCTTCTGCTTGCGCACGCGGGCTCTGACGCCGAGCTAACAGCCGTTCCCAAAAGATCTCATGTTCTCCCGAAATGGCTTGTCTTAAACCCAGTTCACCAGGAAGTACTCCGGAGATTATCTCCACTCAAATGGTAACGCAGCAGGGATGTGATACTGTTCCATCCAGGGGTGATCCCTGTAATCTGAGGATCAAGAGTAATACTGGAAGAACTCCAGCCCTCACCTTGAGTTTGGCAGCCCCAAGGACAGCTTCCATTCAGTTCAAGGGAACGTGTGGGGAAGAGTTTTGGGAAGCATATAACGTGTGTATTTATGAACCATAAAGACAAAGGGAAAAATGGCCCACAAAGAAATGCAACTGAGGAAGAAGGTGCATTCACGGGAGGATGACTGGGACAGGATCCAGACTTCATTCATGGTGTTTGAGTCCCAATGCAGACATCTGGTCAATTCATTCATTAGTTTGCGTATTTTTAAAAAACTGTCTGCTGCCTTTCCACCCACCTTAGGGTCTCCAAGGCAGTGAACAATCCAAACAGTGTTTGAAATAGAGACACATAAAACACACAAACACAGAGTTCAAGCAAGGGACGTTCAGAGGGGGTTTGCCATTGCCCGCCTCTCTGTAGCCAACCTGGGCTTCCTTGGTGGTCTCCCATACAAGGACTAACCAAGGCTGATCTTGCTTAGCAGCTGAGATTTGACCAGATTGGGCTAGCCTGCGCCATCCAGGCCAAGGCCACGGTATGGTGGTCAGGCCATAGGTGCCTTAGGAGGACCCTGTGGGGTTTTCAAGGCAAGAGATGTTCAGGGGTGGTTTAGCCATTGCCTTCTTCTGCATAGCGACCCTGGACTTCCTTGGTGGTCTCTCATCCGAGTACCAACCAGGGCTGACCCTGCTTAGCTCCCAAGAGCTGACAACAACCTCGGGCTTGCCTGGGCCATCCTGCACATTAAAGGTAAAGGTTCCCTTGCTCGAAAGCCAGTCGAGTCTGACTCTAGTGTTGCGGTGCTCATCTCCATTTCAAAGCCGAAGAGCCAGCGCTGTCCGAAGACGTTTCCGTGGTCATGTGGCCGGCATGACTGAACACCAAGGTGCATGGAACGCTGTTCCCTTCCCACCGAAGTGGTACCTATTTATCTACTTGCAATTTCTTGCTTTCGAACTGCTAGGTTGGGCAGGAGCTGGAACTAGAGACGGGAGCTCACTCCGTCATGCGACACACTCGGGTCTCGAACTGCTGAACTACTGACCTTCCACAGCCTGCAGTTCAGCGTCCTAACCACTTGAGCCACCGCAGCTCCACCCCCAAGGCACATTAGCCAGTATTTAAAGGCAGAGTAGGGTTGCTAGGTCCTACCTGGCAGCCGGTGGGAGGATCCAGGCTCCTTCCCTGGATTTTTTGCCACATGTGCGGAAGTGACACCATCACATCACCGATGTCAGGGGTGGGTGATGCTCTAGTTTTTGGGCAAAACTCTATGGCTTGTTTGGTGGGGGGGTCTGACAACCCTAAGGCAGAGACAGCAGAAACGTAGAAGCTGCAAGGCCCCTTTGAACGTGGGTCATCTTCAGCAGCTGATGAAAGGCTACCTGGGCTGATGCTGCTGCCACCTGGGAAGGTAGTCCAGAAGCCCTTCTGAGTATGTAGGATTGGGAATCTTGAGAAACAAAAGTCATCTTGAGTCTGGTGGGTTTCTGTGTGCAGAATAATTGTGTGTCATCGTGCTGCCCTCTTCTGGTTAATGAGAACATTGCAGGCCATAGATAAAAAACAGGGAGATGAACGTTCCTAGGCCCTGTTATAGGATATGTCATAGAGTTGCCAGTTCCAGGTTGGGAAATTCGTCCTGGGTATTTGAGGAGCTGGTGGAATCTCGGGAGGGCAGGGTCTGAGAAGGGGCGGGACCTTGTGGGTGTACAAGGCCATAGAGCCCGCCACCCAAATAGGGTTGTCAGCACCAAATTGGCAAAGCTTGGGGGTGGAGATTTGGAGGTGGACCCTGAAGGCGGTGGGGTTTGGGGAAGGGAGGGATGTAAATGGGGTATAATGTAAAAGGATCTACTTTCCAAAGCAGCCATTTTCTCCAGCGGCCCTGATCTCTGTAGACTGGAGATCAGCTGTATCTTGGGATATCTCCAGGCCCCACCTGGAGGCTGGCAACCCTAGGGATGATATAGGAAGGGGGCAAAAAAAGGCTGCAATGTTTAATCAGTCAGCTGATTTTCCAAATCATCGTTAGCTCGAAAACTTAAGCCCCGTTGACCAGACAGCGTATTTTTAATTTGTAAACATTACGTTACATTTTAAAAATTGCCGATGTCAGGAGCCGCCTCGAAAGAGACTTCCCCCCTTTTTAGGAATGCATCTCCTCAGCGGACGAAGGTGACCAGTCTGGGGCAGAGGGGCCTGGGCAGCCTGAGCATCTGAAACGAATGAGGCTTGGGTTTAAAAAAAGACAGATACCCCGACAGACACCCACAGACGAAGGAGCTGGGGCGCTTCTGGGTCAGAGCAGAGGCGCAGGGGCTGGAAGCCGGGCTGACGGGGTCCTCTTTTCCACTCACTCTCCCTGCAGCTGGAGCTGCCCCCCCTCCCGGCAGATCAGCCGCCAGCCCGGTCGACGTCCACCTCTGAGTCCGAGTCCCCCCTCCCAGGGGAGAGCCCTCTTGCCAAGCCCTCGGCTTCACTTCTCAAGGTAGGGGCGGCTGCTGGCGTAACGGAGCCGCCAAGGGCCTGGCGGGAGAGGCTGGGCTTCGGGAGGGAGGGGGTGGTGAAGAAGTCCTTTCCGCTCTTCCCAGGAGAGCCAGCGTAGAGGCGTAGCCAGAGGGCTGGCCTGACAAACTTCCTCAGTTTGACTTAGGTCAGGTCACACGGGCACATTCTGGAGCTCTGCCCCTCTGCCCTCGGCACGGGCCAGAATTGGATTGGGACCGCAGGACCCAAAGGGAAAGGACTTAGATTTCCCTTCTACACCCTTTCCCCTGATCAGAAATGGCCCCAGGGAGCCCGTTGGCCCTCTGGGAGCTGTTCATATATTAATACGGTTACATGTCAGATTTTCCAGCCAGGCAGATTCCCCCCCCCCCAGCTGTTTTAGGTGAGGCAAAGGGTGCGGAGGGGAGAAGGGCTAAGCCCCTCTTTGTGTGTGCTGAGGTCGTGGTCTGAATCGGGCCCACATGTGCCTGGGAAACACAACACCGTATCTGTGACTTGACCTGGGGAGGTAACTGAGTGAAAAGCAGGGCTATTTTTGGGCAGGAACGCACAGGAACGGAGTTCCGGCTGGCTCCCGAGTTGGCCACGCCCAGCAGGAACTCATTAGCATAATAGGCCACACCCAACAGCAGAAACTCATTAGGATTGGCTACATTAGGGGTGTGTGGCCTAACATGCAAAGGAGTTCCTGCTACAAAAAAAGGTTTTGACCACAAGCAAGGTAAACAGAATAAGAAGCAAAAGGTGGGTGTGGCTAAATGAGCACACTTCTGGTAACATGGGGGTGTGGCCTAATGTGCTAATGAGCTGTGCTGACGGGTGTGGCCCAATATGGTAATGAGTTCCTGCTGTTGGGTGTGGCCTATTATGCTAATGAGTTCCTGCTGGGCTTTTTCTACAAAAAGAGCCCTAATGTGCAGCTAGGATGTCAGAAAACCCAGATCCAAATCTCCCCTCTTTTGCCATCAGATTGAAGCTGACTGACAGCTACGCTGTAGGCTTTTCAAGGCAAGAGACTTTCGTAGGTGGCTTTTGCCATTGCCTGCCTTGACATGACAGCCCTGGAGATCCTTGGCCGTCTCCCATCCACATACCAACCGGGGCTGACCCTGCTTAGCTTCTGAGATCTGCAAGGACAGACTAGCCTGGGCCACCCGGGGCAGATCCCTGTTCTGCCGTAAAGTCCCAGAGTGACTTTGCACGAGTCATGGAGCCCCTTCAACCTCACAGGGTTGTGGTGGATATAAAAATGGGTGAGGAGTGAACCACGCCACCCACCCACCCACCGTGCTCCTTGGAGAAAAGACAGGATAAAAATGTGATGGGTATATAGAAAAGTACTGGTCACTCTCTCTAACCTTAACTTTCTCCAGTCCATGCGGATATTGGGGGGACCGGGTGTGACCCAGAGTGTTGGACTGGATGGGGCATTGGCCTGATCCAGCATGGCTTCTCTTCTGTTCTTAGAGAACAGTGTCGTTAAGCGGCTTTGGGTTGAGAAAAGCAGGGCCGTGCTGAAGGCCTAGGAGCTCCGGCAAGAAAAGAGGTGGTAACCTGCCTTCTGACCCCTAGGAACCAGGGCCACTGACGAGCGTCCTGCTCTGCCTTACCTAGAGGTCTCTGCCCTTTATCTCCCAGGCCTCATCCAAGGTTCCCGAGGCCAGGAAACCGCCACGCCCCAAGAAGGTGAAGGAGCCCCGCCCCAAAGTGAAGAAGCTGAAGTACCACCAGTATATGCCGCCGGACCAGAAAGGGGAGCAGGCGCCGGTGCCCATGGATGCGGCCTACGCTCGCCTCCTGCAACAGCAGCAGGTCTTCCTGCAGCTCCAGATCCTGAACCAGCAGCAGCAGCCAACACCAACATCGCCAGCAACCTTCTGCGTTCAAGCCCTCCATACGGTCCCCGCCAGGTAACTCTCCACTGAGAATCCCGCACAGGTGCAAAGCACCGTGTGTCCGTACTGGCCCTTTCCCAGTGTGTGTGTGTGTGGGGGGGGTGCCTCTACCGCTGATGGGCATGCCTCTACCATGAATGGGTTGACCTGTGATACTCTGACATTAAATGACCAGCTTTGCTGTTCTGTTGTTGTTAATATTTAAGCACAAGAATGGCTGTCGCTATAAGCTAGGGAATTGCTTGTGAAGCACCCAAGGAGACGTCACCTTGAAGCGTGAACAAGTTTAATCTCTCACAAATGTCGAAAGCAGTTCTGTTCACCTTCAAAGTGAATTGGTGGCCAGAGCTTCTGCAGCCGTCTTAATCCGATCTTGGAGGCCTGCAAAGGGGCCTAATAAAAGTCCTTCCAGGACCCTGTCTGGCTTATGAGCCACCAGTTGGGCACGCTTGCTTAGGAGAAGAAGCAAGATGGGTAGCCGTGTTAGTCTGTCTGTAGCTCATACTTTGTTAACCTCTAAGGTGCTACTGGGCTCTTGCTCTTTTCTACTGTTAGGAGGAGAAGAATTTCCTCATGCTGGGTCAGCCCACAGGACTCTCATGCCAAACAGTGGGCAGAAGGTAGACCAGGGTTCCTTGATGGACTGCTTTCCAGTGTTCGGTGGAGCACACATGCAGTGTCTGGACATCAGAAAAGCATTGTTGGATCAGAACAGCGGTCCATCTAGTGTACCGCTGCTCTGATCCGACAATGCTCTTCTGATGTTTCACGTAGTGGCCAGCCAGTTCCTCTGGAGGACCAACAACAGGGTATAGAGGCCGAGACCTTCCCCTGATGTTGCCTCCTGGCCCTGTTATTCAGAGGTCTACTACCTCTGTAGATGGAGGCTTCCTTCAGTTACCATGGCTGGGAGCCATTGATAGACCTGCTGGATGTTGGAGGACATTCAAGGGAATACTAGACAAGATGGGTCTTGGTTTGATCCAGCCTAGACAGAGTCCATATTCAGGGTCTCTTGATGTAGAGCGTTAACATTCCCTGTGCAGCAGCTGGGCAAACACAACACTCTCCAGGGTGCCCAGATCAGACCACCTCGGCCATCTCCTGCTTCTCCTCCAAGTTGGAGCACAGCCGACATTGGGACTCTTGATGGCTCAGGATGGAAAGGGCAAGCAGACATTCTCCCCACCCCTCTCTCTTTCTCCCGTGTACAGCAATGCCCCAGAACAGCTGCTCAGCTTCTCTAGGACTTCCACCCCACCAAGTGGGCCCCCTCCTCCGCCTCCGCTCCCTCTTCCATCTCCGGCCACGCCAACCTCCCCATCGCCTCCCAAGCCGGAGCTGTTGCCTGCCAACCTGGAGGAGCTAACGGTGAGTTCGGGCTGGTGCCACCGCAGTGGAGTTGCCGACGGCAGGCGTCCAGATTCTGCATCAAGGCACCTGAAGTACCGCGACTGGCATGGATTATGCCGATCAGGGCTATTTGCGCGTAGCTGGCTGATTTTCTTTTCTTTTCTTGTTGACTTATTTATTCTGTGTCTGCGTCCAAAGAACCTGGAATTGTATGGAGAAGTCCAGGAGAGAAAGGAATAGGGGGAAGGGTCTGAAGATAAGAGGGCAGGTGGGGGCTGTGTGGGATGAGGGACCGGCAGAGTAGCAAAGTGTCATGAAGCTAAATGGTGCCCAGTGCTGATTTCTGAGCTGGCGCAATCCAGTTGTGGAATTACAGAGTTCATAGGCCCCTGCCCATCTTGGCATTTTATTGATTTCGGGGAGGGAATTGTGTGTTGCTTTTCCAGCTTGTGTTTGAAGCCGCTTGCAAGGAAAGAGAAAAAGAAGAAGAAGAAGAGATTGGATTTATACCCCGCCCTTCACTACCCAAGGGAGTCTCAGAGCGGCTTACAAACTCCTTTCCCTTCCCCTCCCCACAACAGACACCCTGTGAGGTGGGTGGGGCTGAGAGAGCTCTTGACAGAAACTGCTCTTTTTCAAGGACAGCTGTGCCCGAGCTTGTGGCTGACCCAAGGTCACATCAGCAGGTGCAAGTGGAGGAGTGGGGAATCAAACCCGGCTCACCAAGATTAGAGTCCACGCTCCTAACCACTACACCAAACTGGGGACTTGGAGCTCCAGTCTTAAAATCTGTACAAAATAAGCTCAGAAACAAGCTAATATATAACCAGTCTGTTGAGATGACAGGGCGAGTGGCTTGCAAATGGTTTGGGAAGTGGGTCTGGTTTTTCAGAGGGGATGAGATTTGTGGAGCGTTTGGGGATGCTTTTCTCTCTGTACTTAATGGTGGCTGTTGGTTCCCAGGTCTCGGAACTCCGCCAGCAGCTCCGTAAGCGGGGCCTCCCCGTCTCGGGCACCAAGCCGGCCTTGCTAGAGCGCCTCAAGCCGTACCAGGTGGCCCGAAGCAAGCCCCCGCCAGTCCCGCTCTGCAGCACCCGCCTGGCGCCCCCGGACCTGGACGAAGAAGCCCAGGCCCTGCGGGAGAAGCAGCGGGCGGCCGAGAACCTGGCGCTGAAGCTCCACCGGGAGCCAAAACAGCATGACGACGACCTCCGGGTGGAGCTGGAGATGCACAAGCGGATCAAGAATCGCCGCAAGGGAGCGCTGCAGTCGCCCGGCCAGCAGGGAGCGCCACCACCTTATATGCCGAAGAGGGAGTGTGCCAAGGAGGGGGGAGGCCAAGAAGACAGCTTCATGGTGAGCCAGCCGACGTCCTCGGTTCACCCAAACGGGGGTGGGGTGGGGGTGTCACCCTTGTCAAGGGGCAGAAGCCGTGCACCTGCACCTGTGGATCAGAGGCACTCCGGGAGTTGCTGGAGGCAGAAGAAGCGGACCCCCTTCTCCATGCATGTCTTCCGTCCTCCCACCAGGTCTTGTGTCCTCCACCTTGCGAGCCGATTAATTCTGATATGGAGCTGCCCCTCGAAATCACGGCCAGCCCCCTCGACCCAGCCCCAGGGACCCGCTCCCTCGAGGAGGAGCTCCAAGAGGCCATCCAGAAAGCTCAGGTAGGGGGGGGCGGAGGCACGAGGCAGCCTGCTTGACCGGCTGCCGCTTTTTCTGTCTCCAAAGGACTTTGGGCCGTGCTTGTCGAAACGGCATCTTTCGTTTCATTAGGTTTGTGTATGTAATGTTTTCCCTTTGATCTTAACCGGCCTTGTGGGTCCTGATTGGATGAAAAGGCCAGGGCAAAGTTTGTGAAATAAACAAAAATAACGGCGGTTCTTTCCCCTTCTCTTTGGGTAGCTGGTGCCGAGCCAATCCATTGAAGATATCTTAGAAGAGCCTCTGGTATGTTCAGGTGAGGAAATGAGCTTTGGAACCTCAGCATACCATCAGGGGGCGCCCTTCCGCCAGGATTAGCTGAAGGAGAAGCTCATGAGCAGATCCAGTTTGGGGGGCGCGCGCACGTAACTGGACTTTCCAAATTGTTAGGTAGGCGCTGGGGCTGACCTGCTCCAAAGTCGCTTCGTGCTAGCAGCACATTGCACAGAGACATACACGGACAGGTAAATGACTCGTTACAATGAGGGATCCGTCATGGGATCTCTCAGTGAGCACCTTGACTGTGAAAAGGGGCAGCAGGGCCTAGAATTTAAATTTCAGCTGTGGTGGCTGAGCCCTGGCTGAAAACGGAGCTCTCATTTGGGGTTACGGTTGCCAACGTCCAGGCGTTTGGAGATCTCCTGGGATTGCAACTCATCTCTGGGCGACAGAGATCAGTTCACCTGGAGGACATGGCCGCTTTGGAAGGGGGACTCTATGGCACTGGACACCATTGAAGGCCCTCCTGTCCCCAAGCTCCGCCCTCCTCAGGCTCCACCCCCAAAATCTCCAGGTATTTCCCAACCTGGAGCTGACAACCCTAGTTGGGGTCCAGTAGATGCGGATATCACGTCTAGAATACAACCTCTGTTTTCCCTCGTTTGTTTCCAGGTGACCTTCTCCAAGCACCTGCCTCGACCCCGGAGGCCCCCTCTGATCACGTCGCTCCATCACCCCTCCTCCATCCAGAAGCCTCGCCACCAAAGAAGCCCCGCCCCAGCAGTGAACCCCCTTTGGTGTCCTCCGCCATCTTTGATTTCCCCGGACCGTACGATTTCCTCTCGACCGCCTCTTCCTCATCGGCATCTCTGGACTCCCTGTCCTCGGTTTTCTCCCCCGACTCTCTGGAGATGCCCCCGTCTCCTCCGGATGCCTGGCAAGGGAGCAGGGCCCGCTCGGGATTCGATGCCGTTGATTGGCTGGAGGCCTTGACCTCAGGCTCTGCCTCGGGCCTCGGCTCCACCAGTCCCGTCGGCAGCAGTATCTTCTGCACGGACTTCTTTGACTCGCCCGACCTCGGTGTCAACCACATGATAGACCTAATGGTGGAGCAGTGGTAGGCGAGGCACCGGGAAGCTGTCTGCAGAGCCAAGGCCTGGAGGGAATGGGGGAAAATCCTCCTTCTGCCCCGCAGGGTCACGGCAGCATCGGGCAACAGCAGGGCTATTTTTGGGCAGGAACGCACAGGTACAGAGTTCTGGCTGGCTCCCGAGTTGGCCATGCCCAGCAGGAACTCATTAGCATAATAGGCCACAGCAAAAGGTGGGTGTGGCTGGATGACCACACAGCTGGTAACATGGGGTGTGGCCTAATATGCTAAGGTGTTCCTGCTGTTGGGTGTGGCCTGATATGCTAATGAGTTCCTGCTGGGGGTTTTCTACCAAAAAAGCCCTGGGCAACAGTGTCACACGGGCGAGAATGACTGTTTCTGGGTGGTCAGCATCATGCTTTGTCTTGGATGGTCTTGTTTCCATGGATGCCAAATCCAGATGCTCCCTGAGAAGAATTCAGTCACTGGCCTTTGGGTCGGGTCGATGCCATGCCTCCTCTTGAATGGCCGGGCAATCCCAGAAACCTTTGTGGCTTTCAGCGATGTGGCTATCCTGAGATAGGTTAAGCTAACATTCGGGAGGACATGGATTAGCCAGCTGCATCGGATGGGTAAAATCATGATTCAGGACAGCATCGTCTTCGACGAGCCCTCATAGGGGAAAGTGTGTTTCCCGTGATGGCAACTCTTGACATCGATATGAAGCAGTTAAACCAAAAGTATGTAGCAACACCAGTTCTGGAAGCTATCTCGGGCGGAATCAGGAGTTGACTCCTGAATTCTTAACAGCTTTAGATGCTATCGTGGAGTAAAGCGTTGACGTGCGGGTTGTGCTGATTCTACTTTTCCACCTTGCGCCTTTGATGTCTGCACCATGTTGAATTGGAGAACTCATTAACCAACTGGGGAAACATGGTGGTCCAAGATAACAGCATTTTCAGTGGGCCATCTTGGTCTGGGGGAACCACGAAGACTACACCCGCTAGGCAAACATCTGGGCTGTCCCCCTTGATGGCGCTGCAACTCAAAACAAAAGGTGGAGATTCCTACCTTGCTTGGGGCACACTTTTTAATCAAGCCAGACCAAAGAAGGGAAGCGCTAGCCCTAAAACCCATTTGGATTGTACCATCTCAAAGCCCTGAGGGGACAGAGGAGACGCTACAGTTTCCCGGGGGCCACCCTGAACGGACTGCGCCTTCCGTGGCAGCCTCGTGTTACGTTGTGCGCAGAGAAACACCTGCGGCATTTGGAACTGTACCATCTTGCATCGCTGGCCAAAGAGAGACGCAAACCCAAAGAGAGGCGCCACCTTTGAAGGCTCGTGCCACTTTAACTCTTAATATTTTTTTCTTCTTATTTTTACCTGGTGTGACAATGGAGGGAATGTTTGGACCCGCCAAATGCATCGACGTGTGGCTGCAAGCCAGTCTTTGGACTGGGGGTGGGACAGCTTCCTAAGGGAGCTGAACTGGGAGGGTGGCACATTCACAGGGAGACGGGAGTGGTGGGCCCTGCCCAAGCAGCCAAAGGTTGCTGGGAGGTTCAGACCAGCAGAGTCACAGGTGGTTTGGGGGGCGTCTCTAACAAAGGTCTAATCCCAGTCATTCTCTCACCCCACCCCCCGAGAAGTGTCGTTCGAGGGGATGGGAACCTCTAGTCAAGAATGCCCGTCTCTCTCCCAGGCTGCAGTGCTGAGGGTCCTTTGGGGAAGCTGAGTGAGTCCAAGGGACCTATACAAGCCACAGAAGGCTTGTAGTAGAGAGAGGCTCATAGGTTGTCTCAGTCCCTGTGCTCCCAAATTAATGGGCAGTTTGGACATACACACACACAGAAGCCGCTCAGCTTTGGAAATGACATTCGCCCCATTTCTGTCCCACGTACAGTTTTCTCTTGAGGACCACTCACAGAGGGCCAGTTGGCTGACTGGGGGGGAGGGTCTCTGTCATCAGGAAGCACCCTCCCACTTCTCCAGAGCAGTTTTTCAAACTGAAAACAATTCTTTTGAAGAGAAAAATCAGACCTGAAGCAATCAAAGAGCATTTTTAAAAAGGGGGGGATGGGGGTTAGCTTTGTTTTGGCTCCTTCCTTCATGCTTCTGGTGAGCTGTTCACCTTTGGAGGTGTGGGGGGGAGCCGTCTGTATGTCACTTGAAGAGCAAAGACAGCTGTACTCCCATCTACAGGGGCAAGGGGGGCGCATTCCTGGGGGGGTTTCTTTATGTATGTATGTCCAAACTGTATACAGTAGAAAAGAGCCAAGAGTCCAGTAGCACCTGAACGACTAACAAAATCTGTGTCAGGTTATCTGAAGAAGTGAGCCGTGACTCGCGAAGGCTCCTGCCCTGCCACAAACTTTGTTAGTCTTTAAGAGGCTGGACTCTTGCTCTTCCTACTGCTGCAGAGACAGACTAACAACGGCTACCCACCTTCATCACACCGTATCCAGAATACGTCCAAGAAGGGCTCACGGTGCTAGGAACGTGCTTTGAGATTTTTGTATGCACCATTGCAGCACGTCAGCTAATTGAGTGCTGGTAGATCCTACAGCCCCTGGCCGGAAACTCTGTCGCAGACATACAGGCACACCCCCGTTGGAGAACCAGGCCGCTGAGTGTCTGAGACGGCAGGAGGTTGTGCCGTTCCCCGCTCAGGCACTTGGATGCACAGGTTGGTAGAAGACAGGCGGGCGGACAGGAGGAGGCAGCCGTCGGCTGCGGGGCACTCACCGTCTTTTGTGCCTGCTCGCTTGCCCCTCCTGCTCCCGCTGGGAATAAGAGCATCCCACCCATGAGCGTGAGATGGTGGCAGCAGCCTGGTCTTGGCAGGGCCTCACTGCCCAGCAGGAGGAGGAACGTGCAGAAGGAGATGAGCCGGGCGGTGGCTGCAGCATGTGCCAGCACCGGATGTGTTGATGCGCTACCGTCTTGTGCACCTTAAAAAGAGCGGACGTGCAGCAGATGAGCCGGGTGGTGGCTGCAGCATGTGCCAGCACTGGATGTGTTGATGCCCTACCGTCTTGTGCACCTTAAAAAGAGCATTCAGAACACGTTTGGAGCACGCGTGGCCCCTTTGTTAGTGTCTGTCCATGCACAGCCAAGCAAGAGGTCTCTCCCCCACACACACACACCCAGCAGTGAAATACTTCCCTTCTGCGCTGTCCACGCTGCCACCACGCTGATCTCCTCTGACCTGGTAGCGCAGGCAGTCCAAAAGCAAAGTGCTGAAGTTCTGGAGTAGCCAATTGGGCAGGTTGTGAGCACAGCTTTCCAGCACCTGCTGCTGGGGCTTGAGGGCTGCCAGGTGCCGACTCTCCCCCCCTCCCCCCAGGCTCCCCGCTGAGACGATGATGGTCAGCAAAAGTGAGTCCTCAAAGGAGCCTCCTGACTCCAGTTCAGTTTGGTCTTTTGCATTCAAGGAGCTGCCCTGGAAAGACTCAGCAGGGAGGCATTGCGCCAAGGGGGTGGTCATGCGCCCCGTCCCCACAGTATGCCGATAGTCAGGTGCACCCACCACTCCGTACCATCATCTTCACATCTCCTGGCCACTCTCTGAATAAACACCGTTTCTCGCTGCCTCAAATACGGGTGCTGCTGGTGGTGGTTGTTTTTGTTGCTGTTCGTGAAGGTGGTTCACGTGGGTCAGAGGCCCGTCGCAGAGCTTGTGGGGAGAGGATGTTCAGTAACTCCTGAGACATCTATGCCGGACTTAGACCTGGCTCTCAGCAAAGAGCTTCTTGCTCTTCTGCTTCTGTGGTGAGCCAACTGAGGCCATAGAGTAGGATGAAGGGATCGTATTGTGCCCCTCTACGGGTTCTTCTTCACCTGGTCTCAGCTATAAAAGCTTCCAGGTCAGGCCAGGTCACAGCCACGGGGCTCCCTCTCAACCGGTTCCCACTGTCCCTCCCCTTACTTGCCTTATCCCCGACTTCTGCACGGTGTTGTCTGCCTGCCTGCACCCTGGATCCAGCCGCCACATGGATGGTCATCTTGCCTGAGCTCTGGCCTGCACTCGTCTGGAGCTCTCCATCCACCTCCAGTCTCAGTCAGTGCTCCCCCTAAGCTGAGTTGGAGTGAGCCAGCTCACAGTTTTTTTAGCCTCCCGACTCACACATTTTTGTCTTGGCTCAGGAAGGATGGCTCCGGCGCAAACCAATTTATGCAGTAGCCAAATTGCTCCCTCACAACTTCAATGCCAGCAGCTCACAAAGTCGAATTTTCACTCGCAAGACTCCACGGCTTAGAGGGAGCATTGATCTCAATCCTGCCATTCGGCTCCTTTCTGGGGCCCAACACTGTTGATGCCCTGCACTCTTTGCCCTTTAGAAGAAGAGATTGGATTTATACCCCGCCCTTCACTACCCAAAGGTGTCTCAGAGCGGCGTACAAACTCCTTTCCCTTCCCCTCCCCACAACTGACACCCTGTGAGGTAGGTGGGGCTGAGAGAGCTCTTGACAGAAACTGCTCTTTTTCAAGAACAGCTCCTTATCAGAACTACGGCTTGCCCAAGGTCATCCAGCCAGGTGCAAGTGGAGGAGTGGGGAATTAAACCCGGTTCTCCCAGATTAGAGTCCGCACACTTAGCCACTACACCAAACTGGCTTTAGATCCTTCCCTTTACAAAGAGCCTCAGGGTCTTGGCTTTCCACAATGCAGCCCACCCTGACTTGTTCCCCAGTTCCAGGGAATGCATAAGCACATTACACATATGCACATAATACAGCCCCAACAGCTGCTGTTTCTGAAGAAAATACATCTGCGTGGGGGGCTGTTTTGTACTGAGAAGTGGCAGGGGAGGAGGGGAGTGTGTAACCCTTTAGGTTGCAGTTTTTCCCTACTGTATTCCTATTGGCATTTTTCTGCATCTGGAAAGCTATATGTGTGTGTGTGCGAAAGAAAGGGGGAGAGTTTTGGAGCAAAAAAATGTTAGAGCAGAAAAGTCTGATTTGCTGCAAGTTTGGTGTAGTGGTTAGGAGCGTGGACTCTAATCTGGGAGAACCGGGTTTGATTCCCCACTCCTCCACATACAGCTGCTGGTGTGATCGTGGGTCAGTCACAAGTTTTTCAGAGCTGTTCTCTCAAGAGCAGTTGTCAAAAGAGCTCTCTCAGCCCCACCTACCTCGCAGGGTGCCTGTTGTATTTATAAATTCAATTTATAGCCCTCCCTCCC